ATATTTAATTGATGTAGTAAAATTTAGAAATTTATTTCAAAATTAAGGAATATCAACCTCATGCATAGCTCTGATCCTTCGACGTATTTGGCTCCAGTCTTTGGCATCGCTTAAGCTCTCAAATGTTTTTGTTAATGGAAATATTTCGGATTTTCACCGTTTTGGCATGAACATCAATGAAGAGACATAATTTGTCGAAATGTGCATCTGGTGCATCAAAATTGGTATCGTATGATGATTTACATATTGAGATGAACGAAAAATTGCATTCTCGAGTCTACCTAAAACTTTTTGGTAAGCACAGTCCCCTCTCCAAAGATGAAATTATTCAGCTTTTGATACTTTTAACATTCCATTCAATGGAAGAGAGTTTGATTTACTGTACCTTTACTGGACTCTAAAGGTCATAAAAATATATACAAATATATTTTGCAGAGTCCAGTAAATGCTTAACCAAGACCCTATCCTTTCTCTTCACCAAAATATCAGCTGTAAAGTGGAACCTCAGACTGTTTTGCAACTACAAATATTAGAATTATTTTAAATTAAATAAGGATTCTAAAAACCTCCAGAGAACTTTTGGAAAATTTAAAATCCATTTTTTTTTAATTCAGTAGCATCAATACTTGCGACTTTTCTTCGCTTTTTACAACATTTTATCACGATAAATTGACGAACAGATTGACATTATAGAAAACTGTTTCCTCAATAAAAATGAAACTTATTTTTCCTATCTTGCGAAAGTGGCCAATTAATTACAAAAATCTCTGACAAACGGTATGACTTCAGCTTTTCCATTGTCAACATCCCTTATTGATGCAGTAATATCCCATCATCACCTTCAAATGGTCTCCCACCTGATTCGATACGTACATGTAAGAGCATGCTCTTTGTAAAATCATTTTTGAACCGGCGCAGGCTTCTGTAAAAAAAAAGCTGATGTTACAGGGATATCAACAACCTTGTTTAAAGACAGCATTTTTTGTAAATTTTAGTCGTTAAAAAGACCTTGTTTGCAAATACAGCCTATCTGAGGGTCGTATTTTGTCTGACAATTCATATCAATTTCCTTTTATACGAAATTTGACTAAAGATTACACCATTACTTAATTAATATGTAGGGTTCACGGCAGCTGTGACCTGTCGAAAGGGGATGCATAATTACTTCTCCTAGGCACCTGATCCCATCTCTGGTGTTTCTGTGTTTTTGCCTGTTCACGATTTTTATTCTTTTCTGGATTTATGAATTGTTCACTGTTCTTTATCTTCTCAATGTCTATGTAGTTTTTGGATATCAGGTCTTCCAACAATCTGTTGGAATTCTTATGGGTACTAATTGCTAATTACTAATTGCGCCCGATTATTAGCAGACCTGTTTTTGTATTCATATGAAGCAGAATCTATTTTAAAAAAACATCTACATGAAAAGAATTATCTTGCTTGGCCTTCAAATCCATATTCGGATATATCGACATTTTATCAACTAACAATATTCATTTTCATTCCTAAGTTGATTCAATATATCCGTTTGATCTTGAAATAAAAGACATACCGGAGCCTGAGACATGTGTTTCATAATTGGATACTAGTATTTCTCTGGAGAAAACATAAAATTAATTGCAATATATATATATATATATATATATATATATATATATATATATATATATATATATATATATATATATATATATATATATATATATATATATATATATATATATATATATATATATATATATAGTAGTTACACAATAGGTTTTAGTTGGTTATGTACAGAAGGACGAAGGTGGGAAAAAACGTCAAGAGGACACGCAGCGTCCGAGTGACATTTTTGCCCCGCCTCCGTCCTTCTGTACATAACCAATTAAAACCTATTGTGTAAGTCACATGTATCAGAGCCATACAAAGTATCTTGCACGTGCAAAAAGAAATTTCGGCGCTTCATTTCCCGCTTAGAAGTGAATGTGGACGGTTGATAAAGCAGAAAAATGGACGTGGACGATACCTGCAAGGGTTTATTTGATTTGGGGAGCCTGTGGGACACTACAATTGACATTACTCTTTCAGAAGCAACTGAGCACCTATAGGACACTACAGTTGACGATATTACTCTTTCGCAAGCAACTGAGCAGATAGAGAAGGAAATTGAGTGCGAAAATATGCTAGAGAACATCACCTTATCTCAGGCAATCACCTTGTACAACCCCGGACCCGATGACATGGAATTGGACTACGCCGTTGATTTTGATCTGCTCGCAAAACAGGAGGGAGGATCTAAGATGCCGGTGGGTCGTTATGATCATTTTGTAAATGACAGTGATTTAAAAGAGTTGCTTAATTCAACAGAGAGCAAGAACACCCGCAAGAACACAAATTGGTCAGTAACTACTTTTAACGACTGGCGCTTCGCTCGAATGTTGGCAACAGACGACCAGATTCCGAATATTCTGTCGTTCTCTGCAGAGGAACTTAATTTTTGACTGTCAAGATTTGTTGTTGAAAGGCGACGCAAAGATGACAAGGCGTACCCTCCTAAAACACTTTACATGCAAGGTACTGGACTTTTAAGACATTTGCGAGAAAATGGTGTGCATATGAATTTTCTAGATGAAAAGAACTCCCAATTTTACGAATTCCGGAAGACTCTTAGCGCGCGAATGGCAGAACTTACGCACAAGGAGTGGGGACGTCTACTAAGCAGGCCGAGCCGATTTCTGAAGAGGCAGAAAATGTTCTTTGGGAAAAGGGTCTCCTGGGCAACAGTAGAGGAGAATCTTTGCTAAATACTGTCTTTTTCTACAATTGCAAACTTTTTGGTCTGAGAGCTGTTGACGAACACAAAACATTATCTGTAGACCAGTTTGAGTTGGGTCAAGACCAAGACCAAAGGGCAAGTTTATAAATTTCACAGGAAGGGCAAATAAGACATACAAAGGTAAAATGATTTACTAATTTAAGCACAATACAAATTGTTAATCGGGTTTGTAAATGCACGGGGCGTAAAATGCTGAAAAAAAAAAAATAATTTCTATATCGATCTGTTAATTTACTTTTGACCTTATATAGAATTTATATTAATAATTACAAATACATAATTGCGAACAAAACTATTGATATAAGTAAATTGTGCAATGTTTATTAGAATAATTACAATTTGAATGTACAATGTCATTTTTTTAAGGTGGGATGTATCAAAGACATGTGAGCGCGAAATCAATAAGACATCACTTCCAGGGCGAAAAAGTATACAATATCTACAAAGAATATTTCAATCTGGTGGTGGTTAATTGAGAAAATAACAGATTTTACCGGCGACCATTGGCAAACGGAAAAACGGCGAAGCCCGTTTCAGTGTACAAACCAATGGAGTCAATTATCTACAATTATGAAAAATATGTGTGATAAAACCGGAATTCCCGGATTCTTTTCTAATCATTCGGGTAAGCGCACTTGCGCAACCGTTCTTTACCAAGCTGGAGTACCGGAACAGGAAATTATGGAACGTGCAGGCCACAGATCTATAGAGAGTGTCCGTAAATACAAGCGTCCAAGTGAGGAGATGCTACGTGATATTTCCAACGCACTGGAATCAGATGAACCGGTAGGCAAAAAGGCAAAAACCTTGGACGAAATTGAAAATCAAAAGCATGGAGATTGCGAGTGTAAAAACACATTTAACAATTGTCAAGTATATTTCAACCTTTGAAAAGGGTGTTCATTGTAAAAGTAGAGATGAGGTATTAATTTTTCATTTCATTTTATACAGTGGATAATTTCTCCCCTGACAGAAAAGGCGGACTACAAATGTATGTGAATTCTTTGTTAATTAATTTTGAGGAAAATGTACCTTTGCAAAGAATAGTAAAGTTAGAAATTTATGCAAATGATTTACGTCATGATTTTATTATAGCAGTTTTACCACGCCTATTGGGTATCAATGGTTATGTACAGATACCCACAGTTAAGATCAAAAGAAAATTACCGCTGCTATGGTATATATATATATATATATATATATATATATATATATATATATATATATATATATATATATATATATATATATATATATATATATATATATATATATTATCAACTTAGCCTTATGATACACGTGATTACTTTGACTTTTCTATCGTCAACTTTCCTTATTTATGTAGCAATATAGCAGCATTCACCTGCATATGGAGTTGATATCTTCCAGTTGGTTTAATACTTAAGGGCATGTTTTACGTACGAACAATTTCTAAAACTAGGCAATATTTGACAAATAAGCTGATGGTACAAATATATCAACAGTCTTGTTTAAATTCAACATTAGGCAAATTTTATGGTCGATAAAATTACCATTATTTTCACACTAATTGTCTATGGATCTTCCACTTTACCTGATCATGACAAGAAACACACGGCTGGTGTGAGCGGTCGAAAAGGGATACTTAATCCTCTATGGCTCCTGATCCAAACTTTGATGTTTTTAGAGGTCCGTGTTTACGCTGCTCCGAATTTGTATTATTCCTCCATGGCACCTGATCCCACCTCTGATGTTTAGAGGTCCGTGTTTGCTCTGCTCCTATTCTGTATTGTTTAATGGACTTTTGAGCTTGAATACTGTTCGTTATCTCCATATATTTCATTGATTAGCTTTACACAATTGTTTTTCAATGGGATATTTTGTATTCTTTATTTTTGCATATTTTTAGTAAATATGAGATGCATTTAAATACATGTATTTGTATTCTGATAAGACCCATTTAGTTTAAGATATGAAACTGAAACTGAAACCATTTGCAAGAACAAACATATTAATATTAGTACTTTCATGTTTTGTAATGTACTTACATTAGATGAAAGATAAAGTAAGAAATATGTTAGATGAACTAATTGTAAGGATATTTTAATATTCATATATGAGTTAAGAGACCCGTTTCTTGTTAAGTAGTTTGTTCTGTAATTATGTCGGTACTTTCTCTTTACTCCAAATAAAATACATCACGTCTCTTTTCATTTACTTTCAGCTGTACTTTTACAGAAGAATGTTGATCTATGTTCTGTTGACCATTGTAACTGGGATCGTGTTTGGTAAGAATTTAGATTGCTAAATTTATCAAACAGTTAGTAGAAAGACTTACATAAACAAAACCTTAACAAATTTTACAAATGTTTCAACAAAAATTCACTAACAAAACAAATAACTTGATGCAGAAAATGGAGACCAAAGGGTTATGTGAAAAATCTAATTGAATTCTAATACTTTTTTTATTAACTAAATGTAAGGATGCAGGAAAGGGGTCTCAATGTCCTAAGAAATAATAAAAAAAAAAAATAAACAGGGACAACTTGAGTGTCATGAGGCATTTTTCGTTGCTAGGCAGAAGCTTCTTTTTAACTATAAGGGGTATGATTTTGGAACATATGTTCTCCGAGAATATGTTCCTGTTCTAGTTGGTGCAAAACTTACCTTGATATTGTCATCAGACTTAACTTCAAGGTCATGACACGTCCCGTAGTGTTACACGTTACTTCCTTTTTGCAAAATATAACCTTCTTAAGATTCTGTATGTCAATGTTTTATGCAGTGAAAAGAATTTACAATTCTATTTCCCGTGACATTGTCTTTGTCCAACTACTTTTCGCTCAGATACAGACCGTCTCTTTTTCCATAACAAGGAAATAAATGATAAAAGGACCTTGGATTAGGGTAATGACACAACTATTTGTGGTAATGACCTATCTTTGTCTGTCAGATATAAAGTGTTCATGTTGCTTGCTCCAAAGTTTCCCAGCAAGGTTTTATTTTCAGAACATACGAAAAGAACAAACAGACGTACCTAAACAAATCCCTTTCCCGCCTTCTCCGATCCACCATCTTGGTAATTAGAAGTTGAATGATCTTAGCATATTTCGTTTTTAAATTTCTGTTCCAAATCTTCCTGATTCCAAGAACTCTTGATGAAATAATAGTACGTCTAGATCTTCCTGATAATATAGTCTCTGTAAAGTAAAAGTAAGCATTTACTTAAAACATAGATTCTGGTAAAACTCAAGGATGGAAAAAAATGAATACATCTGTGCTCGTTTTTGTGCTTAAATTAACTAAAAAGAAAAGTACTGAAGCACTTTTAGCAGAGGTCCTAAACAGAATTGCGCCTTTGTGGGGAGACAGAACCCCAAACTCAAGAAAATTAGAATGAGTATGACTCCATTTCAAATGTCAATTTCACCGCAATATCGAACGATAATTTTTGATGCAACAACTACAAAGAGTTCAATGAATGCAGTTGTTGCTACTAGGTTAATTAGCTATCTAAATTTCCTTTAAATTGTACCATTAAAAAGAATTAAATACCAATATTTTGACAGCCAATGCTTAATATATCTTTAATTGAATTAGTAAGGAAATCTAATCTGATGTTGAAACTGAAGTATCGAAAAGTTTTTCATTTGTTTTACTGACAGAAATATTTAGTTATTAACACATGTGTTATGATTCATCAAGAAAGCATATGATTGGTTGAGGGGTAAAAAATTAAGTAGATAGTGGAATTTCGGAATGGTTCCAGTAAACCAAGTATGAAGATTTTAAGTGTTTGAGATTTGTGTAATTAATTCTACGTACTAAAATAAATAAATCATTGTACGTTTCTGAGATATTGAGCAGTAAGTTATGAAAGCCCAGAAGGCTCATTCGAGATTCGAGTTTCGAAATACGAGATTCGAAATTCAAGTTCCAAACTAACCAATCAAAAGGCGGATTCAATATTTGATTACTCCCCTTTATTAAGTTTTTACTAACAAGAAATCACTGAATATATTTATAACAAATGAGTCATTTGCTTAAATAATAATGCAAGAAAAAATGTTATATATGTATCAAAACAAAATAAAAATGCATTTTGGGTTACGTTTTGAAAATATATATATATATAAAATCTTGTTTTCCTCATTAAACAAAATAATATACAATAAATACATATATGGAATATTATATGGTCTTATCGTTGAATTGCGAAATTAGTAGGTCGATAAATTATTTAATAAGCACATTGAGGAGGGAGAAAATTAATATTGATATGAAATACTAAGGATTGTCGTTACACTGCACAGTTATTTAATTAAGGATATATTTCATTACATTGAAGGGTGCATTTGTGCAGTTAGACTGATCTACTATTTGATATGGAATAAGATAAATTCCAGTCTGTATTGTATATAAAATTTTTAATTAATTCAAGTATTCAAAGCCTTAGACCAAGATAAGTAATTGAAAACTTAATTTTTATGTATTTCTGCTATTGGGAAACAGTGGTGTATATTCCATTCTGCTAATGTGTAGTCTAATGTAAAGTCACAGATTTCACCTAATTAAAGCGCACCATTGCCGAATTCCGGATAGGCAAGAAGGGAGTCGCCCCCTCTCAATAGAGGGGTCGGAGGTCGGAGGACCACTTTCTGCGATCTTGGAGACATCTATCATTGTCATTTTTCCAGTGAATATAATTATAAATCATTTAAACTTATTTTCATGATACAGAAATTAAAATCTTCATGACCACTTTTAATAAAATTGAGTAAATTTAAAATCCTTCAACTTCTTTACTGAATAATCTAAATATAATTTTTAAAATGTTTTATGTTTGACTTCCTCCTTACCCAAACATATTTCCCATTTCTATTCCCTGTCCTAATCGAAGACTCCTGTTGCTGTCATTTTTTAATAGTCTGATATCGACTTCAAGGTAACATTTCAATTTTAGATTTAACCAGCTATAAAAATCAAAAGTTTTGTATACTGTAAAAATTGGATACTACTACGATGCCTTTCAAGATTTCCTGTGTACACTAATTAGGCATACATGAACTAAGTAATTTTAATACGTACTCCTTTAGGCTATACGATTTTTTTTCAAAGTCCTAAAGGTGTATAGAGGGTCCATTGTTCTGTTAAAGTAATTAATTTTTTATCATTATTAAATACTTTTATATATTTTTTTTCTATGGCCATTACATCATGTATTGAAACTACGAGCGGTTTCCTTATACATATTTATCGAATATACAATTATTTCGCCCATGCATCGCAAGATTGACACTGAATGTTGATAACCGAATATTTGTCTACCGTTGTAATAAAATAAACAACATAGCCATAGGACTCTGGGCACGTGTCTCATCCCCCCCCCCCTACATTTCCCTTATATTTTTTACCACTTTAGAAAACATAGCAACTTTATGCCTGTGTCCTTTCAAAAATAACGTCTAATAACCGTGATAACCCTGTTGCTTTTTTTTTTGGGGGGGGGGGCTTTACAGTGATTTTCTTTTATTTCCTACGGGCCTGAACAAAGAGAAATCATTATCTTTATTAAGCATGTATATTTCAGTCATCCGTACTTAAGGGGCTGTCTCTTGGTTTCACAAACTTGGTCACTGGTCACTTTTTAATACCTTGTCACAAACTATGATATCCACTTTGAAACCCGTATTACTAATTATTATTAATCGCTAGTCACTTGTTTCATTGCACACTAATAATTCTCATCGACTACAATACGCCCCCCCCCCCCCCCTTTGCTCTTTGAATCCAATTAACAATATTTATTATTATGACATGACATCAAACCTGTAAACAAAGTAGATAATGCGATATAGATATTCTTGATATAAATTTTATTATAATATTTAAGAGGTTATGATATAAATTTAAGCATATTTTGCAGACCAAAAACCCATTATTTTTTTTCTAAGTTCGTTCTGATATATAACACTCTTTATTGCATTGTAATGTTATCAAATGACCTCTTCGGTTTGAATATATTCAACGATTTCTAGAAGGTCAAAACTTAGAAAAGGGGAGTAATTGAATCTTAAACCGCCTTTTGATTGGGTAGTTTGGATCTTGAATCTCGAAACTCGAATCTCGAATTTCGAATCTCGTATTTCGAAACTCGAATCTCGAATGAGCCTTCTGGGCTTTCGTAGTAAGTGCCAAAGAACGGGGCCTTGGTGACTTAGTACAGTGTGTTGTGGTACACATTTTAATAGAATATGAGATCATAATCTTTGTGTTAAAAAATGGCAGCTGGGTTTTTCTGGGTATATGTTTTCTGTAGTAAGCATAAAAAGGTATTCTTATATGGGTTTTTAAGTTATTTCCTATAAAAAAAAAAATTAACAGGGATTTTTGAAAGAATATCGTTACCTTAAATCTGCATTACCTGAGTATGTTTACATATTAACACAAATACTCATGGCCCTGCTGTTCTTGTAAAGAAAATCGTTTTGTTATTTATTGCAATTTAAAATTTTATTTCCAATTCTGAAATGCCTCAAATGGTCATGATTTGAACACACTTGCAATATTTATATAATCTTATTTAAAAAGTCCCTATAATAGTCCCACATTGCCCTAAACGGTCATAAGTGAACAAAATTAATTCAAAATATTGGCGGATGCTTATATATCAATATGATTAATCAATGCCTTGCAGATCTTAAAAAAAAAATCTTAAGATAATTCCTGTATATTTTTATATGTAATTTTGATCACCAATTCTCGCCCTAGCCTAGCCGTGAGGGCTACAGTTTAAATAATCTTAAATGATTTATCAGAAACCTTTCACATAAGTTTATTATTTTCCGATACCTAGGTCCCAATAAGCCTTGTTTCATAAACATTTATGAAAGCCCTTAAAGAATTAATAATACGTTGTAGAACATTACTTTTGTCAGTACACTTTCTCTATTTTTATAAGGTCAAGATCCTTGTTCTGATAAGGTATATAGTATGCTCCCTGATTTATCCAAACGAAGTCCGTCGTTTCTGGAAGATTCAGTCCCTCTTTGCGATAAATATCTCTACAAGAAATGGTATAGGGCTGGTGACTTCTATCAGATTCCAACGACTGCACCCGAACTCATATCCTGTGGAACACTGTACCCGTACTGGATGGACGGTAAAGCTCGTGTTTGTACTTGATTATAAAGAGTACATCATTTATTCTTTATGTTGATCAGTCTGTATTGCTTTGCACGTATTCTTTATACTTATTCTTAATATGCTATAATAGTTTTGAGGAAAAATAAAAGTTTTGGCTGCTAAGAAAAGTTAATGTGACCTGAGCCATTTTAACATAGAAGACGATAATACATTACAAATAAATCTGTTGATGCAATTTGTGAAGCTACATAAGCAAAAATCGTAAAATGTGTATATTTGTAGCAATTTACACGTATAACTTATAACATATTTTGAAGGTTCTCTGCCTGTAGGTGGAAGCCTGTCTACAGTCAAGATGTGTCGAGTTGGATTTGATTCAAACTGTGAGAAATCGCATAACATCCGTATGAAAAACTGCGGACTCTACTCTGACACCATTAGATGTTTGCAATGCTGCTTACTGTTTCGGTATGGTTACATTAATTCATGATTTCATATCTCATGTAAATTCTACTGAAACATTTTCCCTGCATATCCTTTCGTACGACGGAATCTCCGTTTTTACTCAAATAATAGTCGCCGAGAATCTATCTTCTTATACATAATCCAGAGACGATATTCTTTATTTATAGTGTTTTTATAAGTAATGTACACAATTCATAATAATTTGAATTAATCAATCCCCTATATATCTTGAAATTTTCATTGTCATCTATTTAGCCGCATTGTTACATTCCTCTAATGCATTTTTTTTTTCGTGTGTATAAGTGAGCCATGTATATTGATACGCATAGCATTCACAGAACTGAAACTGTAGTTAGTAAACTAAAACACAACGAATGATGACTGCACTTAATCCATAAGAAATTTTCGAAAAACTTTCGAAAGTAGCATTTTTCTTTTAATTGCAGGAATGGCCAACATCCAATCTGCAACTTTACGAAATTACATTAAATAAAAATATGTACTTACAAGTAGGAATTTGTTTTCATAGGCGGGGGTCATCAGGAATTCTGGAATCTCCATTCGATAATGAGGACGACCTTTTTTTATATACTGACTTTATACATAGTGAGAGCATGTTTGTCTATTTATCTCTATTCAACAGTAGTAGTCGTATATTTGGATTAATAAAGCAGTGTCAATAGGAGAATAATAGACGAACATTCCCTCATGGTTTAAAAGAGAAAAAAACTTACTTCCTATATTAGCTATCTGTGCTGCAATCAAGGGTTCTGACATGTTGAATATTATAATCTCCACGTGATTTCATGCATCAGGTAACATCACGTCACGTGACGTGTAAAGAAGCATGCTATATGCTAATTAGGACATTGTGTTATAACACGTTAAATTGTCATCATTGATGTCAAATCTGTACTTAAATAGACGTGACCAAATGTTTAATTTCATTTTAAAACCTTTGTAAATAGTGTACTTGTGCTATGCAAAAAGAGAAAGAAAGATAGGAAACGAGTTATAAAGTTTCTTTTTTAATCCATGACCATTGTTACGTATGCAAGTCTAATTTTAGATCCTTTCTATAATGCTTGCTTCACCTCTCATGCTTATATTTATCACCCTAAAGATTAATCAAGGGCAGATAAGACTAAATTCTATATATCTGAAAAGCAGCAAGGACGAAAAAGGTAGCATAATTTATTTTCATTGCATAACAGTCTTAAATCGATTTAAATTTGGTTTAAAATTGACAAATTTCTTTAATAAATAAACAAAAGTTAAATTAGATGAATGTATTAAAGCAACAGAAGTGACCGAAAAAGACCCAGAAATTCAGGGTTAAGTGCAGTCATCCTTCAAGTATTACAGAATAAAACCGTTTGGAGAGGTTTAATGTTTTTCACTTATCTTTCAGAACGGAGCACATCATGTATGTATAAGCTTTATTATCCGAGTTTAAGAAAAATAAAACAATAAAAGACACTTATGGAAATCTATCAGTCAATCAAACACTTTTCGATTTTTCATATGTTTTAATAAATATTCACAACTATTTTGAACTCTGCAGTGTTTTGTAGGTGTAGATGAAGTGCCCTCTGGTGTTTCAGTGGCCTATCACAATGTGTCTTGGAAGACTTTTGGAAAGAACAACTCAAAGTTCATAAAACACGAACCTACTGTTAACCTGATCTGCAGTTTTTTGCCACTAAGCAATAAAGTTTTTTTTTATGAGGTCACTTGGTATATTGACAACACAGAAGCATTACGGAATCAAACAGTTACAGTGGATGATATGAAGAACGCGATTCTTAGTGCGAAGGACATTCTCAACGCCAAAAAAAGGCAGGATCTATGGTTTGTATATATCTCTTCTTTTTAATTTTTTTAATTAGAATTAGAATTATATTGTTATCTAAATGATCCAAAAAGAATCTTATTGTTATGGGTCAGAACAATCGAAGGTGTTAGCTAAATTTACAATGAAATATTACAAAAAAGTGTTGCCTTCACCGCTGAATTCATTAAACCATCTATGACATGTAATGAACTGTAATAGAATATGTAATGTTACAAGTAAGATTCTGTATATGTATATGAGGCTGAGCTAACCATAAAACCTATTTACTATTCAACTTAAACACAAATCTATCAAATACTGTTGTAGAACTATCTACAAAACAAACGTTAACACCAGAAGTAAAGTTCTAGAGACTTTTTATATAACAGCACAGGAAACTACAATTCTAAAAATTACCATGTGGTTTTAAAACTCATGTGTATATCATGTGTGTATTGAACTTTTTTGTTCAACTGAAGTCATTTATAAAAAATACATTTTGTAACAATTAAATGTACAACGCAACATAATCCCCTGACGAGAATCGGTATAAAATATAAAATAACTCAGATCGCAATTTTACTTTGTATTTTTTCAAAATATGTTTTACAACCTTAAATCTGTTGCAAACAGTCAAAATTGCAAATTTTTTTTTTTTTAGAAATTTAATGAATTGATTTTGATAATGTATATTCTAGAATGTTCTGCATGTTACTTTAATGAATTATGAAGAATTCTCTAAAATATATCAGAATGTAATGACCTAGAATTGTCCAGAAGTTTCTATTTCTAGATGTTTCCTTCATAGTATATATAAGTAACAAAGTTTTTGTGATCATCGAAGAGTATTTGTTACTGGAGAATATGTAAGAAAATGCACATGTGCTTGTGGACAGGACCCCGTTTCGAACAACACCCCAAGTCCAAGGATATTTTTATTTATCTTCTTTCATAAAGTTTGCTTCTAACACTCATTTACAATGTATTCCATCTAAAAAAAATCCAAAAATAGCGTAGAATAAACTTTAAAAAAGAATCATGCCCGCTAGTTATCGTTTTCACATCACCTCCGTAATTTCTGCTTTGACGTTTCCAAATTTTGTGGCATTTTTTCACCTTTGAATATGAAAAGTCAGATTATAGTGGAATGCCTAGACATTTAAATAACACGATTAAAGACAAAAACATCTACCAAAAACAAGATATGATGACAAGTTTTGGTGACATGCAGTAGGTAAATGATATTTTAGGCCTGATACCCACGAGGGGTCGAATGTTAATAAAACGTTTATTCTACGTTTGAAATTTTTTCATATGGAATACATTGTAAATGTGTGGTAAGAAAATAATTTATGAAAGGAGACACGTCTTCTTCACGGCTCATATTCTTCTGTTTATTTATTGCAGATTCATTGTGTTGTTGGGGCGAAGCAAAAAGCAACAGGACATCCATGTAAATTTCAGTCTAGTGCTCCTTTCTTTGCTGGCATAAAAGTAGGTTACCCTTGTTCTCAAGTTTACTTTAGATTTGATTCTAATGTGTCCATATTATTTATTGTATACGGCTGAGAAATTTGATCTGAATGAAATAATAGGATGAAGGACACATGGTCACATGATTCTGTTTAACTACGTCATAGTTCCCGTTTATATAAGTGCAAAACGAGTAAACAATCAGTTCTTATATAAATTTTTGACATTTTATTTTATTTCAAATGTTTAAAATAGTAGAATCGGACTTAGATACGCTAATCAATTAATAAATACGATATACAGATTTTAAGCAAGGTTTGCCATTGACTTGTCAGTTCTTATTCAAAGAGGGCGAATTGATCTAAAGGCAAGTTGTCTTAGTGGCGAACCATCTAAAGCATTCTGGCGGAACCTGACGTAAGCTCGGTTTAACTTCGTTTATATATTTTCTGTGGACCTCAAGGTCCACGCAATAAAAAGTTATGATCATAGGGCATAACGTTTGTCAATCAATATCTCTAAAATAAGGTAAGAAACCTAAAGATATAACTGCTTTAAGATATGTGGGTACTAAATTAAAAAAATATACAAAATATGAAAAAATTGAATGACAAGTATTTTTTCAGCTTAAGGTCCTTTTTCCCCTTAAGGAGGGATTCTTGTCTGGTTTCTGACTTAGATGAAATATTCAAAGTATATTTGCTTATACACTGTATGTTTTAAATATTTAGATGTAAGAAATTTAAAAGATCATTTTTTTTTCTTCATCACAATTGTACAACTTTAAATAGAAATGGTAAACTGAGTTTGAAATCTAGCAGGGACTATATTTTTGGCGGAATGGCGGCGTATGAAAATATCTGCTTTTCTGCCTCTCAAAATAATTATAGAACAATGAATTTAATTATAATTTTTACACAATCAAAGACTTGGAAAATTTTTTAAATGTAAGTTAAATTAATAGTAAGGGACTAAAGTTTTAAAATATATCAAATAAATATGATTTTCCTAACAAACTACAATTATGTTAGCTTTTAAAAGCTTCCAATCTAAGTTCAGATTTGAGCCAAAAATCCGTAAAAAGTGTTTTTTCTCTCTTAATAAACGGTCAAAACTTTTTGTTTTTATATCATTTTTATCTTTATCTTTATGTGACAACTTTACCATATGTGAAAATAAGAAAAATTTAAATATAGGAAGCATATAAAAATAACAAATATCTTAAAATTTTAAGAAAAATAGAGAAAATTTGGATTAACAAATATCCATTTTAGTTATTAATAAATTATTTATGTCAATTTGGTGATATCATCTTTATGTGGTAATATCTCTTTATGCAAAAAGAAAAACATTTAAGAGCCCTCTATACACTGCACACTAGAGAGTTCTGATTTTGTGGTATTTTTATGCAAATAGAGTGATCTGCCCTTTGATCAAGAATAAAATAAATTGAAATGTACAATTTTTTACTTAATTTGTGATCAAATCAAGCATTCATAACACTTTAATAGGCCAAAATGAATAGATAAAACACTTCATTTGCAGATATTTTGCCCACTTAAGTAAACACAGTGATTTATGTTCATCAGTACTTCATTGTCTTTGAACATTTTTCCTGGGGGTAAATGCAAGGCACCCTATGTTGAAAATGTGATAGATAAGCTCAATACTTACACCTTTACACACTATAATTTTCTCAATGTCCAAAAAATATTTTCCTCTAGTGTATAGAGGGTCCTTAAGGTCAGACGACACGTTCCTCAAATATATAGTTTGCACACCTTGGTTTTATATAAAAAATAATTATTCATTTTTGTCATTCTCTTGTGATTTATAAATTGTTTTCAATATGTTTAAAAAGTAAATATTCCAAAAATTGTGACATTGGCAATTCAAAAGATTACCCATAAGGATTATATAAGAAATATCACCCTCTGGTATCTTGTCCAAATGCCTGGTAAGGTACCTCAATTTTTGGTGAGGAAACTTGTTTAGGAAGTTAAACTACAATGACAAAGTTATGGGAGAAATTATATATTTTCTAGGAACGTGTCGTCTGACCTTAATTCTGATTGCGTTAGCGCTTCATGATAAATATGCCGGCGTGAAGCGTTGTAGTTCATGTACCTCATGAATTTTCAAAAATTAAATTCTTTCTTATATTTACATTATTTGCTCATGAGTTACCACAAATTACACCATTCAACTGTCATTTTTAACGAGGTTCGCTCCTGAGCTTTTGAGCAGATTTATATCTTAACCTATATTTCAAAAATTCTGCTTAAAGTTTTAATTCTTACAATAATTTTGGATTCTACAATGCCAATTAAACTATATTCAGTTAAAACTCCAGGATTAAATTCCATACCAAAAGCATTAAGTGAGGAACTATATTTTGTGGCGGAAGGTTTTTTTTAGAAGAAAATGATCATTTTTTTCTCTTTCGAAGTATTTAAAGGATGTGAACTTTGGGTTCCTATTTTTACATGCAGTCTGCACACAGAGTTATTTTGTGCAGTGAACTGTTTTATACTGGTCTTAAATTATATAATAAATAAACTGTCATGAATTCTATCATTATATTTGATAAATATAGCAAATATATTGTGAAAATCAAGAAAAAAATATCCCTATTTTAAGCTTAAAATTAGCACTATTTTAGTTATACCTAAAAATTAATATCACAGACCCCCACTTTTTATTTTATTTTCTGAATATATAAGATACAATTAAACATTCTTCTTAAATTCAGTAAAATGTCATTACTTTCAAATGATATTTTTGCTTCTTAAATTTTTAATGGCAAAAAATGAATTTTTTTTAGTGCAAAAAGGTCAAATAATTGAACATGCGGAGTAATTTGAAATTTTTTTCGTTGTCACAAATTTTAATGTGTCTATTCAAAATGAAATAAGATTGTGTTTGTTCCCATAATCTATTTGAATAAAAAAAATATTGGAGGAAAACTTTTAAAAATTGATTTATGTGAAAGACATATTTACAGTGCAAAAAGGTCAAACTAAATGCTCTGTAGCACCAAAAGAAGTGCATTTACACCCATTTTTTGTTTTGATTTTTAACTAAGCTATGTGTATAAATTCTAAAAATATACTTGATAAAAAATTCTCATTACTTTTGATTGCAGGATCGAACCTCCTTAAAGCAAATCAGTTTGCACTATAGTTTTGACGTCAAGTTCGGTATTATGACGTAACCATGGAGATATTCATGCTCACCCATGGTAGTTCATGAGAAAATGAATTTGCAAAGAATCTTAAGGAAAAATATTAGAAAATGTAAATATTTCAAAATAAATCATACTGAGAGATATAAACATCATATGCAGGTAATGATGCTATATTGCTACATAAATAAAGGAAGGTGGCCATAGAAAAGTTTGAAATCATCACGTTTATCATAAAAGGATGACTGCACTTAACGCTAGGTTTTGGGTCTTTTTCGATCGCTTCTGTTGCTTTTATTTATTTTTTATTTATTCATTTTTTTTTTTTTTGCCTAATTTTACTTTTGTTGATTTGGAAGAAAATTCAAATGTTAAAAAAAATATTTGACTGTGATACAATAAACGCTTTTTATGTTTTTTTTTTTTGTCCTTACTTTTTTTTTTTTTTTACTAAATTAAGCGATTTTTGCTTACCTGCCCTTGATTGAAGATTGAAAAAATATCCATGAGAGATGGAGATAACATTGTCAGAATATGTCTTAAATTAGACTACAGTAATAACAATGCTAGTCATTTAAAAATATGTGATCACAGTCATTCTTTCACCATCTCCTTCTTTATTGTGTATGACACAAGTACACTATTTACAATGGTTTTAAGAATAATACCACGTTCATGTAAGTGCAGAAGAATTTAAATCAATACCTGACAACTTAACATGTTCGAACACATTGTCCTATCTAGCACATAACATGCTACCTTACACGTCACGTGATGGATTAGTATTCACAAAATTACATGAGGTAAGATATCACGCGGTGAATTATGATACTTAACATGAGAAAGCCCTTGCTTACAACAGAGGGAACGAATGTAAGATTTCCTCTTTTAAATCATGTTTGTCTATAACTGGTAATCTCCCTTTGATACAACTCAGCTAATTCAAATATCCAATTACTGCTAAATGGAGAACAATCGACAAACATGCGTTTACTATGTATAAAGTCAGTAAAAAAAGTGGGAGTCCTCATTATCGTATAGAGATCTAAGAAATCGTGTTCACTCCAGCCTTTGAAAACAGATTCGTACTTCGTAAATATTATTCACCGATTTACTGGCTATGAGGACAATAGCAAGTTTAACGTCCCCAAAGACAGCAACTATTTCCGGAGGCGCTGTCAAGAGGGACGATAAACTTGCTTTTGTCCGAATAGTCAGTAAATAGGTGTTTTATTATACTGAAACAGACTTTACTTGTGTAGTCACCATCCGGTTAAAGCCAGAAGAGTTTGGAGATGAAAAGCGAAGGAAACGGAATGCTGCCGGTAAATAGCTTGATGACTATTTCACCTTGGCAAATAGCACAAAAATTATTCCACGGTAGGGGCTGTTTAGAAAAAATAACATGTTTATTCGTCATATTTTTATATGGAAAAAAATTCACAGAGGTATAATAAATACTTTAATTTAATGTAATTAAGTAAAGTTGCAGATTGGATGTTAACCATTCCCCGGAATTAAAAGAAAAACGTTCTGAAATTTCATTTTGTTGCAAATGTCATATGTCCTTTTGTACAGCGATCCTTTTGTTGTAAGTTTGCCATAAATGTTCTTACTAGCAAATTATCCAAATATAAAACAGATGAGTGGGACTTTTGAGTGGCGTCTTTTATTTCAAGTTCAATGGGATGTATTGAATCAACATAGCAATTGAAATGAATATTGTTAATCGAAAAAACGTCGTCGATATATCTAAATGTCTCGAAATTACGAAATAAGGGCCACAGCAAGAGACTTCTTCTTTTCTTGTGGATGCTTTTTAATAAATTCTGCTTTATA